GGTAAGAGATCAACCAAAGGACTTGTATGCATGCATATAAGCATAACCAATGGACATAAGACACTGGGGGATAGGGGAGGCTAGGGGACTGTCTAGGGTGGGGGGAAAAATGGACACATATGTAATAACCTTTGTAATAAAAAATTTAAAAAAAAAACATGGGCAAACAAAATATGTAAAGAACTCCTACAAATCCAAACAAACCCCACAAACAATCTCAATTTTAACAGACACTTCACAAATAAGAAAAACAAATGGCTAATAAATACATGAAAAAAGTGTTCAACATCAGTCATTAGACAAATGCAAATTAAAACCACCAAGAGATACAACTGTATACCCCTGAGAATGACTACAATTAAAAAGACCTACACACCAAAACTTGGTAATGATGTGGAGCAACCCAAACTCTCACGCATTGCTATTGGGAATGTAAACTGGCCAACAACTCTGAAAAATAGTTGGTCAGTTTCCTATAAACATACATTTATTGACTGACTGAGCCAGCAATTCCATCCTATGTAGTCACCAAGAGAGATAAAACATGCGTGCACAAAAAGACTTGGAAGAAAATGCTCACAGAAGTGTTATTCATAATAGCCCAAGTCTATCTACAGGAATATATTTATTCAGTGGATATATTCATTCAACTAGACTACTGATACACTCAACATGGACTAATCTCTAAAAAAATAATGTTAAGCAAAAGAAGCCAGGCTAAAATATATATTGTAGGCTTCCATTTATATAAAGTTCTAGAATAGCAAAACTAAGTCTATGATCAAAGCAATCAGAACAATGATTGCCATAAAATATACACAAACAGATGATAAAATACATTAAAAAAACAAAAACAAAAACCCCAAACAGAGTAACTGCCTAGGTAGAAACTGACTGAGAACGGGCACAAGAGAACTTAATGTGGTGATGGGTATGTTAAATATCTTGATAGCATATGTGCTATCAAGTTCCTTTCCTTGTCTAGAAATAATACATCAATAATAAACAATGCTTTTAAATGCTGAGTAAAACTATGTTCATATTTGTTAACAGTTATTTAAAATGTAAGTATTATGTCCCAGAAAATGTGTGGGTATTTTGGGGAAACCAAAGTGAAGTTCACTGGGTAATAAATCATGAGGTATGATGAAAGTTGATCTCCCCTAATGTCAAACGGTACAGTGTGACTTACTGCACTGCAGTTTAGTGTGTTGCAACAGGCATTTTATTTTAGTGAAAGAGAATCTTGAAATGGGATTAAGAAATATCAGTGGGTCACATGGTAAAGTGGAGTATTGTTTTAGGAGTGTACTGAGTTATGATGTAAAGCCCATTTCTTATTGTGGGCTGTGGTCAAAACTGTTTGAAAACCATACTCAAATATACTGTTATTTTAAAAAATTCCTTCACAACAATGATTATACATTTAACCTTTAAGGAGTATGCTGCCACCAGGTGGAGGTCTTTTGCCACAACTACAGGATCTTAGCCAGGGGTTATTAACCTCTCATATGCCATGGACCTCTTTGGCAAGCTCTGAAGCTGATAAAAATTGTGATATAGTAATGTATGTACTTTTTTAAGGCATTGGCTCTTGTCAGCTAGTGGTGGATATAACTACCATAAATCCAAAGTAGTGATAAACATAAGCTATATATTCAGACTAGAGGCCTGGTGCACAAAATTCGTGCACTTGGGGGGCGGGGAGCCTTAGCTGGGCCTGCGCCCTCTTGCCCTCTTGCAGTCCAGGAACCCTCAGGGGATGTCCAACTGCCACAGAGGCAGGAGAAGCTCCCGCCACTACCACTGTGCTCACCAGCCATGAGCCCAGCTTCTGGCTGAGCGGCACTCCCCCTGTGAGAGCACACTGACCACCAGGGGGCAGCTCCTGTGTTGAGCAGGATCAGGCCAAAACCAGCTCTTGGACATCTCCTGAACGGCCTTGGATTGCGGGAGGGCGCAGGCCAGGCCAAGGGACCCCACCGGTGCACGATCAAGGCTGGGGAGGGATGCGGGAGATTGACCAGCTGGGGAGGGACTGTGGGAGGGCTCCAGGAAGTGTCCAGCCCATCTTGCTCAGTCCCGATTGGCTGGACTCCAGCAGCAAGCTAACCTACCAGTCGGAGCGTCTGCCCCCTGGTGGTCAGTGCACATCAAAGCAAGCGGTTGGGCGGCCTCAGCATATCATTAGCATATTATGTTTTGATTGATTGAACGAATGACCGGACACTTAACATAATAGACTTTTATTATATAGGATATGTGCCACAACTATAATACAATATGAAAAGAGATCTGATTTCTAATGGTGACAAATATTGCTAATACTATTATGTTCTGAATACCTCACTCATAATACAAAATACATTTATTAGAACTTGGTCAAAATAAAGGTGTTAACTTTCTTTCCCACCCAAGTTCATGGACCCTGAGAATTCTACCACAGGCCTGCTGAGGCTCCACGGGTTGCAGAATGAGAGCCCCTCCAAAGCAGTGAGGTGTGCCTCCGACATTGCTAGTGGATGCAAAATGTAATGTAACACACTGTAGTGGCTGTTCTACCCTGACTCCTCTTTGCTTCCCCTTCTTCATTAGCAAAAATAATTTTTAAAATAGTAAAAAAAAAAAATACCATGATGCTTCAACAATCACGACTGATACTATGTAATAGTAACTTTCTAAAGAATTAAATAGCAAGGTCCAATTTGGTATTTTCTCATCATTTTGCAACTTTGATCCCAAATAACTTAGTGTAAGTTTGATCATAAACAGACAGATTAGAATGTCTCTTTAATTTTTTTTAAATAAATCATCGTCTTACTCTGGTGCTCAAACTTTCCCAGGATTTCTGCCAGACTCCAGCGCGGGGCAGGCATGCAGCCCCTCCCCCACAGCAGGCTCTCCCTCTGCAGCCAGTTCTGAGTTCCCCAGCAAGCTCTCTCCAACTCCCACACTAATCAGAGGTATTTTGCCTTTCTAAAGTTCCTGCTCTCAGAGCTTTGCTGCTGCTTTTCTCCCAGGAGTAAACAGAAGTTGGGGAAGAAAAAAAAAAAAAGAAGCCTCTCACTGCTGCCAGGAGCAC